CAGGGATGAGCACGAGGGTCATGCCAGGTTGCAGTTCCAGGAGCCCAGCCACAAATCCAGGTTTACCCAGGTGACCCAACCGTGGGCTGCAGAGGCCCAAACACTTCCAAAAGCTGAATATGAGCCAGCAACATGCTCTTGTTGCAAAACAGAAGCCAACAAAAATACTGGGTTATATTACCGGGAGTGTCACTTGAAAATCAAGGGAAGTGATTCTTCCACTCTGTTGACCCTTACAGCAGCCTGACCTGGTATACCGTGTTCAGTTTTAGGCTCCCACTTCAAGAAGCATGTAGACTGTTTGGAAAGAGTCCAGTTCAAAGTGACAACAATGAGTAGGGATCTGGGAACCATGACTTAAAATGAAAGACTGAAAGAACCAGCATTGTTTAGTGTGAAAACGAGAAGACTAAGAAAAAAGAAGAAAAAACTCAGTCATCTACCTGATGGGCAGTTTATGAAGAGGATGGAGATTTTTTGTTTCTATAGGGAACAGGACTAGAAACACTGGCCTCTGGCTGTAGCATAAGAAATTTTACATTAGTAATTAGGAGGAACTTTCACCCACTATGAGGGTGGGCAAGTATTGGAACAAGCTACCTAGAGAACTTGTTGAATCTCCAGCCCTAGAAATTTTCAAGAGCAGATTAAACACACTTGGCTGGGATGGTTTATTCAGAGACAATCCTGCCTTCAGTAGCGAGCTACTTGAGATGACCTCATGAGGTCCCTTCCATCACTATTTGCATATTATCCTGCAGCCATACTTCCTTTCTGCCTCAACATTCCCCTTGTTCCTATGCCAGCAAGGAATCCTGAGCAATGATTGCATCTCTTGTATGGCTCTGTGCAAGGGATGAACCAGGACAGATAAGGTGATGCACAGTTGATGTATCTAAATTCTCACACTCTTGTAATCATTTTCCATTTTTCAAAATAGCGAAAGCTTTTTACTTAGCTATATATTTAATTTTTTCCTATACTTTTTTAACTTGATGACAGCATGGAACAAACAGATACTTGTCTGCATGTAAAGGAGGGTACAACCAAAATAGTAACATATTGAAGGAAGGGGGTGACTGGGGCACCAGCCCCAAGCACTGACCTTGGATGCAGAGGCAGAGGAGAAAAAGCAAAAGTGGCTGTATCACTGGACCAACTGCTGCTGTGCCACTGGCAGTGCAGCAATTGATGTTCCCCCACCTATGCCATTCAGGGTGTGCAGGTGTCACATTACACCTCTGAACAAAATTATCCAATTACATAGCCAATTGAGTGCTCCCTGCTGACATATGCAAGTGTCTACTTATTTAAATGTTTTATACTACAGGGGAAAATGCAAATGATGTGTCTACCCATATTTTTTTGACAAAGGAACTTCATTTTTTCATTTGGACTCACATATAATAGTTGGACAAAATGCTAGAAAAGCCAGTCTTTGACTAGCTGTTTCATTTGTTATTGAATTTACCATAGCTGCATAACAGCCAGGCGTACAATTCTTTATTTAATAAAATTGATGTGAAGAACAATGGAAGATGAGAATTCCGTGCCTCTTTTAAAAGACCATGTTTATTCCAACACAATACATGAAAGTTTTGGGGAGTTGCACAACAAGCTTAAGTTAAAGGTATTTTTTCTTACTAAAATAGTTTTACTATTCTTTCATCTCTTTGTCTTTATAACAGCTGTTGTATATTAAAAAAAGGACAGCTACAGAAAATTAAAGTTAACATGTGGAAGCAGGCATCTAACTCAAAAAACATCTCTTTCAGAGTAGGGCTGGAATGCCATTATTTTGCTAAGCTTTTTCCAGTATGTCTGTGAATATTTAAAACATATTTCAGAAAGAAGACATTGGAATATTTAAAAAGTAGCAGTATTAAGACTTAGTATCTTGAGGCTTTAGGGCTGAAGAAATCCACTCAGCTAATATAAAAAAACTGCAGTTTCAAAAAGGCAAATGCCATTAATCCTTGGAAACTAGTTATCTATTATCAAACTGTGTTACCTGCTATGTTTTTATTAACTAGGGTTTACCAGGAGAGCATGGGTTACCAGGAAAACCAGGAATTAAAGGAGAAAAGGTAGGGGTTTTTTTCTACTTCGGTTAATTAAATTTGTGCTCCAGGGGATATTAATCAGAAACCTTGCTCTTGAAAATTATATTCCATCCTGTGCTGTGGATCCTAGCTCCTGTGCTGAGCAATCTAGATGCATTACAGATTGATGAAAAGCACTTGTGTTCACCATGATGAGTTCATAGTCCACAGTGTTGACCCAATTCCTACTCAAGTTAATGACTGAAAAAAATCACATTGATTTCTGGTTGAACTGTGTATATAGGTACTATAGACAAGCAAGAGTTGACAAATAGTGTGTATGTTGCAGGGTATATGTAAGGGGGCAATACATTGTGAGCTAAAGCTTGGTATTTAGATACTGTATTTTTATATACCTCATGGTGCTGGGAGGGAATGCCCTCCCCCTTAGTCTCCCCCCCACCCCCAGCAGTTATATGTGTTAGAGAGGTTTTTTTAAGTCTTCCTCAGAAGCATTGGGTGTCAGCTTCAGCTAAGGCCAGGGATTTTGACTGGGTTGTGCCAGTGTTCCCGCTGAGACTTAAACCTAGATGTTCTTGGTTAGAGGGCCTTGCCCCTCTGCTCAGGTCAGGCTGATTCACCATATTTTGGGTCAGAAAGGAGTTTTACCTCATGGTCAGATTGGTATGGACAGTGGTGGGTTTTGTCTTCCTGTGTAGCAACGGATGTGGACCTGTTCCTGGCTTCTCTTGAGCATTTTGCTAAGACATTAGACATTGATTTGTATAAGATGGTTTGGATAGGAATGATCTTGCCTTAAGCAGGGCTTTGGACTGGATGGCACATGGAGGTTCCTTTCCAATCTGCTTCTCTATGATTCTGTAATTTTCTTACATACAGTGTGCTCCCAAATAAGACATGTTTTTGGCAAGTCAGAATGAAGAAACGATTTATTCAGAAGAAAAAAAAACAAGTCTGAAGGAAAGGCAGAAATACTTTTTCCAGAGTTTATAAAGCAGGGACAGTCTAGTCTTCAGCTCACTCATGCTCCCATTCCTGCTTAACTAAAGCTGAAACTCTAGATACTCCTAAAGACTGGTCTTCATGGGTGGATTTTGAAAAAAGGCAAAGAATCTCCAGAACTATGAAACAGGAGGAGAAAAACCAGGACAGATAGCAGACAGCAAAATTGTCCTAAGTATGGTTAGCTTGATTAGTGGAACATCGAGTCCATTAAAAAGAAAGGGTGACATTTAACATCTTTTGAGTGAGGAACAATAAGCCATTAAGTCAACTAACTACCCCAGCTGTCTGAATAGTAATGCCATAGCTGCTGCATTGTGGAGCAGAAATCAAAGCAGAGTGTTTCTGTTTGGGGCAGCTTCCCCACTTAAAACATGCACCCCAATTTTGGGGGAAAAGGAATAAATATGATATCTGAAGAATATAAAGAAAGCTAATAAAATAGACTAATGGTTGTGAAGGCAAATGTTGAGTGTGGCTGTAGAAGACTGAGTGACAGAAGCCAGTCTTCTACAGCTGCAAGGAGTAGAGTTAGGTAGCATAAGGCCAGCTGAAATCAGCCTCCTGCAAAGACCATCTGTGTGCCAAGTTCATTTCACAGAAATGTGCAGGTAATCATTCTCAGTAGCTGCTGCTCAGTCCTAGAGCACCTTCCCGCTTGTGGCCCTTCAGAATCCAGCTCTGGATATCATCTGGAAGTTCTGAAAAACATTCTTATTTGAACAGGCCTGCTCCAAGCAAGGCCAAGTTTGGGGGCATTGTCCTGGGAGTTTGTTCTATACATATTATTTTATATTAATATTTTATCTGCCTTCTTAATTTTATTAGGCTTTTCTTAGCAAGCCACTCTGAAGGTAATTTCAGCAAGCCACTCTGAGGGTGACATAGAGATCTACAAAAGAATGATGACAATAATGCGGAAGGCTCTAGGTACTCCATGGCAAAAGGGCAAAGTGAAAGAAGTACAGTCAATTATGGAAGAAAAAATGAAAGAGCAAGAGTTGTGTGGTGCTGGCAGAGCACAAGGTTAAAATAAGAAAGGTTGTAGATAATAGGACTGTGCAAAGCTTTGGTCGCTGATTATATTCAGAAGTGATTCAGCTCAATTCAGTGGCCAAATCTGAATCAAATCAAGAAACCTATTAACTTCTCTGAATCAAACTGAAAGCCTCTGATTCGATTCAGAGAGATTCAATGATTCAGCCATAGACACAGCTTTATGTTTTTTCTACATACTTCGAGGTACCAGGCACAGCTCATGAATGCTGAGATGGTAGGGTGGATGAAGCATCCCACAGAAGTGTGCTGCAAAGTGCATGGGGAACCCCCCACCCCTCAAGCTCCTGTTGGATGCTCCATCCGCACCACCATCTCAGCATTCATGAGCCGCACCTGGTACCTTGAGGTACATAGAAAAAACATATAAAGCTGTGTCTGGATGAATCACTGATTCTCCAAATCAGAATCGAATCTTCAGATTCAACTTCGGCCGAATTGAAATCAGGACAATGATCTGAATCAGCTAATCAAATCACTGGCCCCTGAATCAGGCCAAATCCGAATCAAATACTGCCCGCTTCACACACCCCTAGTAGATAAGAGTGCAGCATCAGACCCCAAAATGAAGAAAAAAAGAATTTTCATTAACATCTATGAATGGCATCTAAAACATATCAAACTTTTACCAGTGG